GTTTCACTACATTTACAGACTTCCCAAGCTGTTTTTAAATTAGTTAATCTCCAAATATTAATTCAGTTATCAGTGCTATCAAATAATGCATAAGCAAAGCATTTCTGAGAAGATCTTAAAAACTATTATATTTCTGAATTTAAAATGTTTGTGAAGCCCTCCTTCAAATCAGTGCTTCCCAATCAATTGCACTAGAAATTTATTAAGCACAAACTCCATTGAGATATATATTAGAAAAGCAGAATTTTAGGTTACTTAATATAGTAAATAACACAAATATTTATACCTGACAATATACGGTTATAAAAGTTTAGGAGTGTTTAACAGTATTTGCTGTAAATTGCGAGCAATTTTAAAATTGGCATAGGAATAAAATAATTTTTTGTGTATAGGAACAAAACAATTTTTTATTAGTGTACTGATGAAAAAAAAAAAAAAAATCAGACTGAAACAACTGCATTAATTCACCCAAGACTAGACTTCTTTTTTCCCCCCCTTCCCCCTCTGTCTTTTTTAATTCCTTACCTAAAAGTAACTTTGGCAGGAAACATGAAGGCAGTAAGTTTCCCACATAAAACTCCCTGAGGGTGAATATAAACTCTTAAGTCAGAAGTTATACTCGGTCAAAAGAAACTGCTGACTTATATAAGCCCCCTCCAGATATATTAAATGCTGCTGATTAAGTTTTCTTATCCTTTCAAGGCTAATTCTAACATTCCCATCAATATACTAAGGGGGAGATTTGAGAGAAACAAGACAAAAGTAGTATGTTTCAGAAGATAGATCACAAAAAGCTGTAAGTACCAGAAGTGCGATTTTCTATTAGCATGGGCGCACACCTCAATTTCAACATACGCATTAGTAATTTTGCTCGAAATTCGCTTTTGTTTTACAGTACAGAAGGAGTTACTCTCTTAAATGCCAGTAGCCATTACATCTAATACGTTTGTAACCACTTCCCAAGACACAAAAACAGGGTAAAAAAGAACAAGTCAGTCAGTGAAAGAAATTAAAATAAGTTTTGGTAATTAATGCCCTCTCCCTGTTGTTGTCTTGTACTGGCTGAAGAGAGAAACACATCCTGCACAAGGATATCATGTAACTTGACTACAGAGTCAAGTATATCACAAGTGTTTGTGCACGTATCTATACGTATATAGACACATATACATAGGTACACATAGGTATACATAGGTACATATATATATATTTTACATACATATAAAAAATCTCCCCTAGCAGTGATATCCTCAACTAGAACTAGAACCAGATCCATAAGAGAACTAGATCCATAAGAGTTGTGCTTAGAACTAGATCCATAAGAGTTAATTATCTGTGATAAACACTTAAACTTTTATTCTCTCTAAATACGAGAGGCCCAAAAGCCTTCCAGAAGAATCAACGGAACGATTCTACAAATGTTTGTGAAAGCAAGACTTGGCACAAACCTGAAAGCCCCTAGTTGCAGACATACTTCTGCCGCCTCAAAGAGCTATTTGAAAACCAACAATGCATTTTAAAAATCAGGACCTAAGCTAGGGCACCTCATTAATCAATTCCAAACAATACACAACACAAATACAAGCATAAACTATCACTGAAAACCATCCGAAACACTATCCACTTGACAACTATTTTAAAATATTGTAGTAGTATAAAAAAGTATACATAGTCCACATCACTGTGGAATAGATGAAGGAAGCTGATAAATTTTCCAAAGCAGTCAAAACCCATTTCTCCTTTCCTTTCTTTCGAGTTTCATAAATAAATTCAGAAAACTGCTTTAAAATATAAAGTCAGAGAACTATTTAGACAAATTCCAAGATATTTAGCATAAGAAACAGACGAAGCACTAATTTTTGGTAGTGTTGCATGCCTAAGAAACATTTCTTGGCTTTACAATTTGACTTGAAGTATAAATTTCAGAGGTTTAATGGCCTTTCTTCATTGCTAGTCAGTGTCACAGACATCAAGAGGCACGATATCCTCTGCTGTTAAAGGCAGAAAATAACCATTTCACAGTCACTCTTTGAGTGAGCAAATCTCATGAACACATTGATACAACAAGAGCTGCCAGAGTCAGCTGTACCTGAGGAAACAACTATGAAATAACACATACTTGTTTATCCACAGTTGCTAACCATACTAGCTATTATAGCTGAAGTACTGCAAACCATTATAACACGCAATACTTTGCGGCAGAATGCTGCTACAAATTTTGTTATGAGAAGAAGCCACGACAAAACTAAAAATCTGTATGCTGTGACAACACCTTCAAAAACAGGGTAAGAGGTAAAGAGCCATTGTCGTGAAATCTTCCAAGAAGCCCCTCTTCCTCTTGTTATGTTTTCATTTTTTAAAAGATCTATATTTCTCACAAACAAGCTTGCTCTGGCCATCAAGTCAGTGTGAACAGCTGTAGTAGCGCCACAGAATTAATTTGTTTACGACTAAGTCCAGCATTCACATTTATCTCAAAAATGTGAGCATGCTTAGTCTAACTTTTGTTTTTAAACAATCTGAAAATCTGAATTTTTAATGCAGTTGAACTTCCAATGCAACTTATCTGTAAAACTTCCAAACTCTTTCACAAGACAATTTGTCTCTTCTTTCCTCTGGACAGCAAGGAACAGAAGCTAACATAGAAAATTCTTATATCTTAATCACAAATCACATATATACCTCCAAATATTCAAACTGGAACTTTTTCACTACTTTTTCTCCAGATGCTTATCCTTTCCTGCAATTGCATCATTAGGTTAACCATAAAAATGCAACATACTTTCAAAGCATTTTTTCAAAAATTAAGCAAAATGCATATTCTCTAAGGATAACCTTAGGCTCATTTTACTTGGGTTGCTCAGCCTTTCTATCTCATTTTGCAAACTTCAGACTTTCTGTTTTAATACTGTGTCCCATGCTCTACAGTGATTTACAAAAGAATAAATACAGCTTCTGACTATTTTGGAAAACCTACTCAGAAGTTTCCAACTAATTTGAATACCTACACTCAGAATTAAAACGAAAAATGATAAATTAGCGTCCCATAATTTCTTGCTCCACAACGCCCCCTACTGCAGATCTGCAGAACAAACTCAGCGCAAACATTTCTAAACGAAACCTTTAAAGAAAATTACTCCACTCAGAGACTCATCCTAGATGTATAAATAGTCTATTTCAGTTTAGTGGTATACAAGATTTTTGAATGTAAGAAATTATTTTTTAAAACTCTTCCATAAATGCCATCGAGTGTCAAGGTAACTATGAGGAAGAGAAAACAGCTTCTCTTCATTTCAAACAAATTCAAAAGACAGAATCTGTTTACCTTTGCTACAAATATTCTAATGGCTCTAATCAAGTCAATCTTTTGTAAAAATTGATTTTTCTGTTGTAATGGTAAACCTTTCTGTTTTCACAGTGTTCTCCCATTAGGGGGTATATTAAAAATAAACAGTTTTCACTTAAAAGTCTTTTGTTGTAGTCACACGGAGTTTTGGTGTTTTTTTGTTTTTTAAACACCTCTGTAACAGAAATAACTGCATCATGAGGCACCGTATTCATATTAAATCTCTACCCCCACAGCATACATCCAACAGATACCACAGGATTTCTGGCAAGAACTTGAGGACTGGAACAAAAAGAGCTAAGCTTAGCAAAAAAAAAGAACAATCTCTAATTCTGAATGAAGAGCAGTTCAAGTCCTCAGTGACAGAGCTCCAGTTCCCTGTTCCAGACTTCTGAAGTGCTGATAAGTCAGATCTCACACTTTAAAATGGGGATAACAGTATTCCCATATCTGGTAGGACTGTTCTGATAATTAGCGTAACAACTGTGATCCTTCAGAAAAGATTGTAATGAGCATAACTATGTACTGATAATTTAAAGTTTAAAAGTTCATTACCAAATAAATTAAGGATGACAGAAAAATCACTTTTTGAAAGAATGAAATGCTTATTTATTAGATAATCTCTAACAGAGCTATAATGGTCTATAATAGAAGTACATACCTCTGCATTTACTTAAAAGGCAGATCGTGAACATATAGGGCAAGCCAAATTATTTGCATGCATCTTTTTCACCGTTTTCTAACGTATGTCCAGCAGTACTATGCAAAAAGTAGTGTGCAAAGTGACATTTTTTCCAAATCATGAAACTCCAGCCACTCAGATTCATAGGCTTTAACACTTTAGGATGGCTCACGACAGTTATGGGAACTCCAAGCACAGTTACAAACCAGTTCCTACAAACACTCATTGAAGTTGATGGAAACTGAGGGAACTCTACAATCACAAGAGCAAATTCAAAGACAATTTAGAGCATTCTTCTGTAGCTGTTTCCACGTGGAATTTAGACCAAGGATTAAATTAAGACTATAGAGGAGATGTCTTACTCTTTGCAAAGCTTTATTTCTATTATTCTACACTCTTAAAAAAAGAGAGTGAGAAGGAAGAGGAAATATTTCTCTTCGAAAACTAAGATCCATACTTAAGAGTCCAGCTCGTTCATTATGACCGTTACTGCTGCAATATAGGTTTTAACTCATGAAAAACATCCTAGAAGTGGTCAAGAATGAAGTCCCAGAACTTTGACCTTTACTATAATGGAAATTTGCCCTAATTCCAGTAGGCCTTACACTAAAAAAAAAAAAAAAGAAAAAAAGTGTTCTAAATATTCTCAACTTATGCCATCACGGCTAATATGTTGGTTAACCAGGTCACAGTTTTGTTTATATTTGGGGCAGATGTGAGTGGTTTGTCACGAAACACTGGAAAACAAGTCCCAAGTCGTAAAACAAAGTTTACTGCAAGAAATATGAACGCCTGCAGTAGTTTCTTGTTCTTTTGTTACCAAGAAATGCTTCTAAACAAAAGTGATTCTGATTTTTTTTTTTTTTTTACTAAAAATTACATAACTAAGCACATACAATAGATTGCAGTTTGGTATCAAAAATTATAACTTTTCAGTGATTTTTATGACTTATGAATAGTTTAAGTGCTTACCTACGAATTCCTTCAAGAATATCATTCACAGCTGCTATCAATTTCTGCAGACCTAAAAAAGCTTCTTCAAATGAAGACTTTGCAGTCACAGTTCCTGTGTTAGGGTCTAACTTCTGGAAAATTTCAGCACTAATATTGGAAAGAAACAATGAAAAGTAGTTAATGAAAAAATCCTCAAAATTCAGGAAAAATTCAGTATGCATTGAATACATTATATTCTGATGACTACTATACACAATGCACGCATAACCTGATAAACTCTAAATATACCTCTCCGAGAAAGGAAGAATTGTTAGGCTGAAGAAGCAAAGTAAATTGTTTTCCAAGCAATTTTCCAAGTCGTTTCATTCTCCAGATTTAGCAGGACAAGCCTGACACTTTTCCTGCAACTGGTGTGTGAGAACCATAAGTTGCATTGCACTTAGGAAGAATAATCTCCCCAGGTGGAAGATGAGCAGTATTTTCTTGACAGTAGCAAGACGACTGTGAAATAAACTATCATTCTAAAACTTTATCCTCTTCTCACAGCAGTCCTCACCAGATGGCAGGAGCCAACAATTCAGTTGAGTTTTCGCTTAAAAGTGGTACATTTTGAGAGAGTTTTTCTAGTAAGACTTTGTTCAAAGCCTCTGCAACCTCTAAATGAAAAATTCACAAATATTAAGCAACCCAGTAAGAGAACCAACTCTCTCCACTTTGGAAGCTGATACATAAGAACTGTTCCATCCTGTACTAAGACTGTTCTCCTCTGGTGCAAATCCTTAGCTGATTCTAAGTACTATCAAGCCAGTTCCTAACCAGTTTCAATTCGGATTAATTTGCACTGGTGTAGGCCAAGAGGAGTTATGCTCTGGCAGTATATTCAAATGCTAGTGCAGAAATGGCACTGCCAGAGCTACTAATCACTGTTTATTAGACAAACACTGTCCTTAATAGAACACCAAAAATGGAGCTCCTCTGTGCTTGAAATAACACAGAGTCCTTTCTTAAAAAAGAAAAAAAAAAAAAAAAGAGGGTAATATTTATTCAAGTTTTGTGTTAGCATCAAGAGCATGATGTTTCAATGATTTTCAAGCAGACTTTTAAAAAATAAACCAACTAAAAGCAACAGTAAAATAGCTATTTTTTAAGGCATGCAATTTCAAATTTATTGGAGAAAGGAAATTCATTATCAGACTCTGCATCTAGATTTTAAGGTGAAGGATTCTGTTTAACAAGAAAACTTAGTAACACATTTCAAGTCAATTAAAAGTTTAAAAAAAAGTAAGCTAGTTTTGGAAAGGAAATAACCACAAGAAAACTTACAACCTCGAAATGGCTTTTTATGGACTAAGGTGAGATTTCCATGAATGTCTCACCTTTGCCCCTCTTAGGGGTTTTTTTTACACCATTCTCCAAGACAACTTATAGCCACTGCCAGAAGAAAGCAGTAGACTAGACAGATCACTGACTGCATCCATATGGCAATTTGTATGTTCCTATTTTATTAGTGTGACAAATTAGCGTGAATTCTTTGCCAATCTTGATTAACTACTAATAGCTTCCTCGCTAGCACAAGGAAGAGGAGGAAAAAAAAAAGGGGGGGGAGGGGAGGGAAGCAAACACTTTCCACAGCACATTTGTTTTAAAATAATGTGAGATTATGTAAAAGTTTCAAATTTCTTTAGCACACTGTACCTATACAAGTTTATTGTATTCCATACACCTTCCAAGACCGACCAGATTTCCTGGTGTCTGTTTTCTTGAGCCACGTGAGTACTTGAACGCAATTTTTCTTCACAATTCTGCAGATTTGGCGTCATTGCTTCCATTCTTTCACATACAGCACTCTCTGAAAGAACCATTGTGTCTTCTGATAAATCCTGTCCACTGTCTGACTTCACCTTACGAAACGGTTTAGTGAACAAACAATGAGTGTATTCGGTTTGTAACTTAAGAAAAGCTGAAAACTTTTAAAAGTTTAGGTTTTTTTTCCTTTTAAAATAATGCTCAAAAAAGCAAAGCAGATCTCTTGTAGTTATAATCGTCTTTATTACAGTCCCGTTTTCTTAAACATCTCTCAGTCTTTCAGGGAATCTTTCTTCTATAAATATTAGAATCTCTGCAGATAGGAAACTGGAGCAAAGGAAAGACTTGCGCCAAAGCTTCACAGGCATGGTAAGCTGGTATAAACCAGAACTGCCTTCTTCCACACATGAAAAAGGCAGTCTTGTTCTATCCCATGACCGATGGCACATTCCAGTATAACAGCACAAAGTATTCAGATACTCATGTGCTAAACTGGGTCAGGAAATTTCTCTGCGTAAAAAGTGAAACTGATCTGGCGTAACTGATCTGTGTTAAGTCAGTTCCTTGTAAAAAGTCAAACGCCTCAGGACAAAACAGGGAACAGGACAGGGTGGAAATAAATTTTTGGACAAAAAGCCTGCTTCTTATGGCAGTACTAGTCCCAGAACTTTGAAGTGGCTCCATACAGTGTATTGAGGCGTGACAGTACAGAACAGAACTGAATCAAGACCCACAAACACAAGCCACTGGACCATCCTTCTTCTCCTTCCTTTCTCCTTCAGCTTGCCCCAAAGCCGAAAAGAACTCTTTACAGATATTCTGACCTGTGTTTTTTCCCCATATGTAGAAATACTTCAATTCATTCGTCCTCATTATTCTCTCTTTTACACCATTATTCTCTTTTCTACACCTGTGTTGAATTAGGAATCTACACAAACCAAGACACTGAAATTTCTTCCACAGCATCTCAGACATGAGCTAGAAGTATACTTTTCAGAACACAAACAAAAGATATAGCAGGACACTCCACATTAAATATCATGAAGCACATGATACACATAAGCCTATTCTTCATATCTAGGAACGGAGCTACCAAGACAATAAAAGCTGAAATAATAATAATAATATGCCTAGAAATAGTAATATCAGACTAATAGGACACACACAATGAAAAAACTAGCATCAAATATATTTTTCCTGAAAACAGCTAGATTATGTTTTCCAGTCACCCTCCTGACACTAACACATTTATATTAGAAAAATGGCTAGCAAGTATATTCATAAAGAGAGATGTTTGCTTCAGGAAAGAAAAAAAGTTAAATTTGGCACCCATTAATTTTGAAAACACCTCAACAGCACTGGCTGCAATAATTTGTTGAAATCATGGGAATAATTTAGAACTCTAAGGCAAGTTTGTAATATGAGCATGGAGCAACTTAACATGTTAGGTGAATGCATACTGAAGTTCCACTTACCTCTGTGAGTGTTTGGTGGAGCCTAGTGACTTCAGCATAAGCCTGGGGAAGCACACCATTATAGTCTGACCTTGAACTGAAAGCATGCAACAGTTTTTTGGATTCCTGGAGCAAGATACCAACTGTTGAGGAGTCAACTGTTTGAGCTGATATTTAAACATTAAGAGGAGGATGGGAAATACAAAAATTCAGATACGTTAGGAGTGAGCAATCTTAGGAAGCAAATTTAATACTCAAATATCTGAAGTAACTGAAGCACATAAGAAGGCCTGAAAATGGTTCAAAAGCATTAGATAAACCTCTACAGCATTGCTAATATTTCTCTGGAGACTATTTTAAGACTTGCGCTTTTTAATCAAGTATCCGCAACTTACCCAGGATCTGGCAAGAGACTCGATGGACATAGCTAACGTTCTTGCAGAACAATATCCCAAAACAGCTATATTTACTAAAGTCAGAAATCTTTCAAAGTCTCTAATAAATGAAAGTTTTTCTCTTTTTTGAAAACAAACCTACCTGCCCACACCCACCACATTAGGTGGACTCTGCTTCTCCCTAATTTATTTAGCAAGCGCAGATCAACTGATGAATTGCATAACCAGATCTACTATGGTGGCAGAGGAGGGAGAAAGATTTGCCTCTTAAAAATAGTTCAGAGACTATGGTGACCATTATTAAATATTCATTAAAACATTTTGGGGGGGGGGTGGCGAGAGGATGAGGCCAGCCTCTTCTCCGTGGTGCCCAGCGACAGGACAAGAGGCAATGGGCAGAAACTGAACCACAGGAAGTTCCACCTAAACCTGAGGAAAAACTTCTTCACTGTGAGGGTGACTGAGCCCTGGAACAGGTTGCCCCGAGAGGTAGTGGAGTCTCCCTCCCTGGAGATATTCAAAACCCGTCTGGACGCGATCCTGGGAAATATGCTCTAGGGGACCCTGCTTGAGCAGGGAAGGTTGGACTAGATGATCTCCAGAGGTCCCTTCCAACCTAAACCATCCTGTGGTTCTGTGATTTTTGCAGGCGTATAAAGATATGTGAAGTAAGTTCTTAAATGCTTGAGAGTATCCATATATTAAATGTTAGTGTTTTTGTAAAAAAGCAGAAAAATATTGAAGAAAAAGCAGCAGAATATTGAACTACCAAAAAAAACAAAAAGAGAGCGAGAGAGAGCAAGCATGCACGAGAGCGAGAAAAACACATTTCAGAAACCATTTGCTTGACTTTTAAAAAGTGATATTTAGACCATCTGGAGCCAGAGGCTGGACAGACTTGAACGTGGTTCAAACCTTCTTTTGTTTTTTTGTTTGTTAAGTTATTTACTGCTCAATTTCAGTTCACTCCTGGCTCCACATACAAACAGTATTGTGATTTTGTCACCCATCCGAGGAATAAATTGTGGATACACATGAAAATAGGTAATACTGGCCGAGATATGGCTCCACTTGGATGATCTTAAATTTAAAAAAAAAAAAAAAAAAAAAAAAAAAAAAAAGAAAAAGAGGATGGAATAGAATGCTGTTCAAACATGCAGAGAACATGCCTTTTCACAACCTCTACTTCTATAACTACAAAAACCAGAATAGCACGTTTATTTTTGCTAATTTACAAACAAGTGCAAATTGACAAACATTCTCCAAGATTCTTACCTGTACAGAGGTGTTTATAGAGATATTCAACGGTTGCAAGTAAACTCCTTGGCACAACATAACCAAAAACAGCCACCCAGTGTTTTTTATAACACTGCAGCAAGCTTGCTAATGTCCATGGAGGCTTCAGATACAGTATCTGAAAAATAATACGTTCAAAAATGTGAAGTCTGATTTTCATATATATTTCTATACATTTTATACCTGCTCTCTTCTTTAATGTCTGTTGTCATTTGTGCTTGCTGAAATAGTATTCCAAAGGTTCCTCAGAAATAAGATTTATTCGGATTTAACAAGTTTACTTAAAAAACTATTTAATTCAGCAGCAGCATGGGTTACACAGAGATGCTCACCTAGAAGTATGCACTGTACTACAATAATTCTTAGCAGCTTCATGATTTTTGGGTTCTCCTTTTCTCAAACATTCGAAATAGACACGAGTAATCTCTCAAAATAGTTTGATTTATTACTCATGTACAAAAGCCAGAACAACAGCAAATACGCCTTTGATCATCTACTATTGTTAAAAAAGCTAAAGTAAACCTAACTTTTGAGTAGCTGTGACTATACATAAAGTAATATATAAAACCGCAATTTATTATTATCCAGTGAAACTAGAATTTGAAAAGATGTTAACCAGAATCAAGTTAATCAAAAGTGCCTAAAAGCTAACGAGCTAATCAAAGCTCCATCTTGTGGCACAAGAATCATCCCACTCCAGTGACTTTTTTTTTTTTTTTTTGAAAGCCACAGAGGCTTATTTGCAATAATACTTCTTACTACCCTTTACATCAACTGAAGCATGGATAACTTGAAACTGCATTTTATCAGAGTACTCATCCTCTGTTAACAATACTTTTTAAAGTATGAGTGTTTGGAGATTCTGACTATTTCCTAGGAAAGAAGTTCCATCACAGGTAAGTTGTTAACAGTTTTACCCATATGGTATCTTTCCTATCAGAACAGATGTTTTCAGAAGTGCTTGCAACAGCCATGCCTCAATATTATGTAGAGCTTTACGGAACAATTTCGCAAAGGACATATTTACAGTGCAGAAGCAAAATTTACAAGTCAGTAGAAACAACCATACATTGTAATGTCAAGAAAGTGATCACTTTCAAAGTTGACCTTGCATATGAACTCATACAGCAATTACCTTTGACGATGGGTAAAAATATAAATCATAGAATATCATCAAAATCACTTTGGTTTAAATCAAAGCACAGCGAAAAGTTAGCTATTTCTAACTGTTTCCACACATTTCCCTGCACTGTTTGAGAAGATACCATTTTTATGTAAAGTAACAAGACACTGAATATGTAATAACTGCATCATAACAAAACATTCTTAGATAAAGCTAAATCAATAATAGCAAAATGTTTCAAATTTTCCAATACTTAAGGTGCTAGAAAATACTAGAAAAGTACAAGTCTAGATACAATGTAATTCATACAAAGAGTTCTAAAATTCACACTGAACTGCCAGGATTTCTGTTACTGGATTACTAAAATACTGCACAGTCATTACTGGTCAAATAGAATCATCTTGTTATAAAACAAAATCGTATAACTGAACGCTGTGTTAGTGAACTACATGACTACATTGTTTGGTTTAGCACAGGAATCAACACCATAAAAACACCGCGGCCACTTAAACCTCTTACTATTTGAGATATCAAAACAAGACAATATAAGAAACCACCTCCATCCACAGGTTTCCAAACGCAATTTTCATTTCAGTCTCCAAAATACAGGATAAAGCTTCCCCTAAATTCTTTTCAAGGTCTGGAAGTATATTTGGGAATCGAGCAGTAAGATTAGCATCTCCTCCTTCTCTTTTCTGGAATGCTGTATCTGTCAAATCAATGACAATAAAAGGTATTTATTGCAACTGTTTCTGTATCTAATTTACGTTGCTAGTACCCAAATTACTTGCTCCTATAAGTAAAAGTAAAAAGAAAGACAGACTGCATTTCTACATCATGTTATAAAGCAGATGGGCTACTTCTAATTAGGTTTCAAGCATTTTTAGTTATACCCACTTGTACTGTGCGTATTTTTAATTATGAGCTGCTAACCAAGAAGATCTAATTTCCCCAGAGCAATTATTCATTTGTGATCTTACTCCACATTTCTTCTTTTCCTTTAAATAACTTAGATTATATACAGCCAGTGGGATTATTAGTAAGTATAATGAGATCACTTCTTCTTATACCTGCTTAATACAAACAGCTATATTTGCATCTTCAGAAATATGAACAGGCAACCCAAGAATCAAGTTCTGCTGTTTGGGATACCAGTAAAGCTATCATTACAAAACACAAAGGAGTGATCTTAGCATAGAAAATCTTGCGAATAAGATTGGGTCCCAAACTCTGGCTCAAGTGGAAAAAACTCTTTTCAGGCCAGAGATGCTGAGAACACCCTTTAAATGGCTACATAAACACAGGAAATTCCCGCTGTGTTTTTCTGTAAACAAAAATACTACATATTTGAATGTTCTAGAACTTTAAGAGACATGTTTCAATGAAGGTCTCAAACTTTTAGAAGAACGTTTACCTCTGAAAACAGAAAACCTGCCCTAAACACAAAGCATACCTAAGGATTCAAAGTATATGAAAACTGAGGTAATAATGGAGACTATCCTTCCTCCCCTACATTGATTACTCCGTATATGCTGGCTTTTGGGACATGCGCCCATTAAACAAACTTACCACATTTTGACTGTTGCAGGTCAACACAGTTCTGTTGCCTGTTTGTGTTCAGATTCTGTAGAGCACTAACCAAGTCTGCTTTGCAGAATGCCTTGACCTCACTCACAATGGCTTTATTGCATAAATTTTTATCATCCCTAGAAGAGAATTAACTCTTGACTTAAAACTGACATGGTTACATACTCAATAATTAAGTATTAAGTTACACATTAAGTAATGCACTGAAAAATTTGTCTTCAGCAAGCTTATTTTGTGAACTTCATTATATGCAGAGTCTTCCTTCTCAAGTAACTAGAACGAGTTCAAAAAAATTAGATCAGAAAATTAACCAAAGCAGCTATTCTGAAATATATAAAAAGATACCAAAAAATATGCTCTAGGCTTGCTTTAAGAAAAAAAAACAAACCACTATAAATACTACAGTAATCACGTCTAGTTGCTATGATCTTAGCGTGCAAATGAGGCAATCAATGTTGGTAAGAAAGCAATATCTTATTAGACTGACATTATAAAAACCTAATTTTACAAACCTATTTTTGCTGTCCTACTGGCCAAATCGTCACAGATGCTGCCCTGAAGCATGTATTTATTCCAGCAGAACTACTACAAACACACAGCACAAAGTTGCATTCTTAGACTGTCCTCCAAATTCCAGCTGCTTATGTTGACTTAGGAAAGGATAAAGGGATTTTCAGGACGAAGAACACTTAAGTCACCTTCTGTTCTTTTTTCAGGGAAATCTAAAACCATTATGGACAACCACACCCATGCTAAGATTGTGATACCCACTTACTGAAATAGTACTGGAAATGGCTTTTAGCAAAGACCACGTAAAGCTGTTGACAGTTAGGAAATATTAGCCCTTTAAAAACTAGCTTCACACACCTTGTATCAAATTGAGAATCAACTCTCAAAAGTCAACTCTCATGCTCACAGAATAAGAGCAGGGGCAAATCTATCTCTACCTTCCCTTCTCCTAAGATTAACAGTCATCAATGTATATCTCTCTCCCCAGAACAGGTGGGCAGAAATCAAATATCTAACTGGATCTCAATCATTAACACAATGACCTTTTCAATTTCATAATTCCAATAATATTTTAATAAGAAATTGGAATAAAATCCAAGAAAATTAGGCTTTAAAAGTTTTAAAATTGAAGCTTGAATAAATTTAATTCTACTTCAGGCCTCATACACAGGAAGGTGACTTCAGGTCTACAACCTTTATGTTTTATTACAACCTTCTACTCTAGGTTTTAAGAGGGTGACTGCTTCTCAAAAAAAAAAAAAACAAAACCCACTTATCTTAAAATGAAGAGCTGCTTTGAAAATAAGATTTGAAAATGCTATGTTTAGCAGGAGACTACCTTATACCTCATAACAGACCTAGAAACACGCATGAACTCACGTGCAAAGTACGACAACAGCTTGAGGAAAGAGGTTCTGATACTGTAGACAACATTGTAAAACACGATCATCATTGTTCTCGTCGCTCAGGCCATCTGCAAGTTTAGTTAAGACAGTGCTGACACGTTCAGAAGTGACTCAGCGTACGAAATACTTCAGTGCAGTCATGGTACTGTCTTTAGATGCAACAACCCTCAAACAAGGACAGAGGAGCGTAACCCAAGCACAAAGCTGAGCTTTGAATTTTTAAGTACTACCCCTACTCAGAAATGCTACTATTTTGCTGAAAAACTTCTAGTGAGCCACATATGAATTTCAGGGAATATTACATTTTCTGACCACAAAGTCAAAAAACAAAAACACATAATACATCTTTAGCTTGTAGATGAAGAGGAAGTAGCTAGATGAATTTATACTAAGTAATTCCCTACTTACTAACTCAATAGATGCAGCTCAAACTGAGAAACAATAGATGAAACAACAGTGAATAAAGCACTAATCTGAAGAAGGTATTTGCACACTAAAGCCTTAGATATGCTCTGAACCCTGCTATAAGCTATTACCTTAGATGTTTTAAGGAGCAAACTGCAAAGTCAGGGACTGTATCAAACTCAAAACGCAGCGCTAAGGCTTACGCTAATTGAACTGCAAGGATTAGAGTACTCAAAGCACATTGACTGTACATATCTTACATATTTTTTGAGAAGCAAGCTGCATGGATTGCCCCCATAACTTTGAATCTTGGTTTTTAAGACACATGTAGATAAACTGGACAGCAGGGATAGCTTTGTCCCGAACGTGCTCTAACATTTTCCCTTTCTTCAAGTTGTCTAATTCCTGTAGAACAACCCAGGGAATTATCAATGCGAGCCTGCCAACACCTTGTATGAAAAGAAAAACAAAAAACAGAAAACAAATTTTGAAGAGCTAAGTGAACTAGCACACTTAACTTTAACATTTGACTAGTAGAGTTAACATTTAATTCAAACGTCATATTCAAGTAAGCTAACACTTATCTTTTTTTGCCAAGAGTTGTCTTAGTCTGTGCTCAGGAGTACCTAGCATTACAAAAATGAACTGTTAAAAAAAAAAAAAGATGTTCCCAATCTAATCTCAAATTGGCACTCCACTGGTTACATGTAAAAATGACGATATTAAATAAAAGGAATAAACAATTTTGATCAGCAGAATACACTGACAACTCTGCGCAGTAATATTATTAGGTATATTTACAGCAATTAACATTTTGTCACACATGCTGCAAGATGTTAAGGCAACGTGACGGTAGGAGAAAAAATAGCATGATAATACCTGAACGACCACCACAGTAACTGTGCAAAACCAGCCATTAACTAAAATAAGCAATGGCTTGTGCTAATTGCCAGCCAATATTCCTGTGCGAGGAACAGGAAGCATCGATACTGGATGAAGGTTTTATTCATTAGAATTTTTGTGACTATGTACGATTTGAACTTCAAACTCTTATAAATGAAATTCACAGTAAATCAGAATTTAACAGCTCTGTTTTGTTGGTCCATCCAAGACAAACACTTCACTTGTTTTCTTTCCCACTCACATGGCAAGAATACAATTCAAAAAAATATACACCAACATCCACCTGCTTTACAGTAAATAGGGCAGGAGTCAGCAACCTTTTGACCCTTTTACATAAGGGATTTGGCACAGGAACAAAAATTGGGAGCAGCATTATCCTAAAAAAAGGCATCTGAGAGAGACAGCAGCTCCCAGGTTACACAGTATAACACCATGCCTAATTTGGGAAAGAAAAATACCGTCTGATACATCCTTAAAAACTCCTGGGACCCTTGTTAAGGTTATTTACCAGGTTGATGCTTTCAGCTAACGAATACACCTACAAAGCAGGCAAAGCACCACCAGTATTCTGACAGATTCCATATATACCTACTAACAACCAACACACACAATCCTAATCCTGCTAACAGCAATTATCTAAAAACTTTGCAACATATCAAAAACAAACATTAACATCAGGGTCTGCAATCAGAATTCTAGAGGAATTGCTCTCACATCTCATGAATTCCATGCCCTTAACCAAGACAGAAACAAAGCAGTGACTGACGGCATATCAGGTTTTAAGTGCTTTGTGATTTCCAGAAAAAATTGTTAAAGAGAAAAAGATTAGAAAACATTATCATCATAAGTAATGGATTAAACGCTTCTAAGTAGGTTCTTAACATAGGTAAGACTTATTTATCTCTAATAATTCATACATATTACAGAGAATTATGGCCAACACTCCCAGGAAACAGACAGGCATAAACGCAGCAGGTCCTACTTTCATATTCAAACTTCCCTTAAGAGGCAGCCTATTTGGCAGCCTCGTAAGTGCGAGCCTCCTCTCTCTATATGAAACCTGGCATCTTTTTGAGAAGCCCGGGTTTGGTTTTCTTCACAAAGCCTGAAGTTCTTACAACCATCCATTCTTTCTACAAATTTCCCATTGCTCACCGTGTATTCACATACCTGGTATATCTTCAGATTTCAGGGACCTGACAAACTCAAGGTGACTAATCATTATATTTGTGTCAATTACCACTAATATGTTCAGACCAGAAGTCGAAGTCTCTGGGGATTAAAGAAAAAAAAAAAGAAGAAGAAGAGGAGGAAAAAAAAAATAGTTGTGAAAAAATGATTTGCGTACTACCTGCTCAGGTCGCTACCTGATTGTAATGACTAGCTGCAAGTAGATACCAAAGAGTATCAGCTCAAGACATACCAGCAGAAATATTTAAATCCTGTTCTGGGAGATCTATTTCCATACTTGTAAGCTCTCCACAAGTTTGTATTACAGACAGTGCCATCCTTTTCTCAAGACGAGCAACATGCAAATCTTCTACTATCTGCATCTACAGATGTAAAAAGTACAAAAATAATTATATACAAGCAATAGCTTTAGAAGTGCATCTGAAAAAGATTCTTTTGCATTAGTGCTGTTGTGTTAAAACTAACTAAATTAAAGCACGAAAATTTTTCATTTTAGAAACAAAGCATGAAAAACCTGAAGTTAGTACAACAAGCTTAAAGCCATGAGAATCTGCTAAACAACCTCCACTATAAGTTTGTCCAAAAAATGAAGGTCCAAAACATGACTTAGAAAGAAGATTTGTTTGTGACCTTTCTGCCCAATATCCAAAAGCTTTGTTCCATTTTTTGCTAGGTAGGAAAAAAAAAAAAAACTCTCTTTCTCTACTGAAAAAATTAGAAGTTGGAACATGAGATACACAGAGTACGCAAGCAACTATGAAGTACACCTTTGCAGAGAACAAGAGAAAGGCAATCTTTCTATTTCAGAAAGTTCCTGATTAGCAGTACTTTACCAAGTAAATATTTAATATCTGAAAAATGCTCCACACTCTTAGAAGTCTAGACCATAAACCAACAATACAAAATACTATGAAAGGACATGGAATTGTCTAACTATAGCAACTCAGTGCAATATTTTTTTAAATATAACTGAGAAGCGTTAAGTTAGAGCATTACTAACCTCTTGGTCTGATTCTGGGCTCTGACTGCCTTGGTGGGATGGAAAGACTTCAAAGTTCTGTAGAAGAATTAAAATACCATGTCAACAACACAAAACATCAAGGATTGAGGAACAAGTGATCCTCAAGTCAAGAGCCTGAGAATATAGTTGTTTAGTGTAAAGCAAGTATAGCACTAACCTTTTGCGTAGACTTTATGTTCCCCTTGGCTTGGTAGGGGTCAGACGTGTGTGGGACCTCAAAATTCTAGAAACAGTAATAGTAACAGAAGTAGGACACTAAGAATCTCCTAGCGTACTTGTTAGAAAACACTGAATATTTGCAAACAAAATGGATAAGTAACATAATATTTTTGATATTCATGATAAAGTACATGACTAGTGATTTTATCTCTACAGTATCATTAAAAACAACTTAGAAGGTTGGGTGTCTTTAAAATAGATAGCAGTTTGCACAGTAAGCTTATTTTTTCTAATCTCCTGGGGACTTGCGACAACGGATTAAAGCGAGCGTCCCTAAGACGATCATTTAAAATTATTACTAAAGTATCCAAAGGGCTTTTAAAAAGATCCTTTAAAGTCTGTATTAAAATTTTAATTATTAAGTCCTCTCTTTCTGTATGCACAGAACAATCATGCTTCCATAACACGAACAGAAATCTAAAAACTAATGCTAGGCAAACAAACAAACAATCAAAAAAGAGCAAAGAAGCAACAACACTCAAAAGAAAATTTGTACGTAAATACAGGTGCAGAGACAAATGTAAGTTAGAACTCGCACACAAACTGATCGCAGCTAACCGTGAATTTGTGCAGGAGATGTATTAATTCCGTCCTAGAACTACAATAACAAGTTCTGCTGGCATAACTATGCTGGCAGAAGAGCACCTGTTTTGCTGAGCGTGGAGTTTTTGTTGGTCAATTTATGTACCTAAAAGTGATATGATGGCCGTGACAGCACCAAAAAAAAATCTGCTGACTTCTACCTAAACTGAAATATTCCACACCCCTACCATTACTTTTTCCATTTGCGTGACCGTTCAGCAGGGCAGAGAAGCATTGTAATGTGGCTTAGGTTAGGATCAGAAAAATCCATACAGTTATCTGGGAAATTCTGTGTGAACTCTACAATAAGACAGAAACAGGCTATTTATATACAAACAGACTGCCATTTAGAAACTAGCCTGAAACATACATCTGCACAATACTAAAATAATCTGGTTCTCATTACCCGCTTAAAACCCAAAGTTGCAGCTTCAAAGCACCCTCCTTCAGTCCTTGCATTACTAGCAGCTTTATCGGAATCAACGCCCTGTTTTTTCGGTTTATGACAGTCCCATCGCTTAGGTGTTTCAGTCGAATAGTAAGGCGGCACGCGTTTGGTAGTATGTTGATTTTTCTTAGAAAACTCCTTATATCCTTCTTCATGCTCTTCGTCACAAGTCCTAGATAACACACGTGATTTTTTACTGAAAGATGCATCATGATTTACAGACTCTGTAAAGGTGACAGATGTCTTCTTCTGAGTTCTGACTTCTTCGCTCTGTTTTTTGGATCCAATTGACGTTTTATGTGGTACATGCGAATTGTATGCAGCAAGCTTAAACTTCTCCAGCATGGTTTGTTCAGCTTTTACTTTTAGCTTGCAGAATTCAGCTTTCTCTCTCTTTTTCTTCATCACCTTGTCCTTCTGGACTGCAAAGCTATGCCAGAACTTTTTTCCTTCTGTTCCATCAAAACGATGACCTTTGTTATGACTTGCCGTAATAGCAGTTACCACATCAGTGGTGCCTGTACTTTTTCCATGTTTAATATCTTTAGGCTTAAATTGTATAACTATTCTCTTTCGCTTCTCAGTTTGGATTGAAGAACTATCTGTGGTTTTGCTTCTGTTTGGAGATTTTCCCTGGGACTTTCCATCAGCACCACGAGAAATATTAGAACTGTGGTCTTTTTTCTTCTCTTGCATACCTTTCTGTATTTTGAATCTGTAAAAATGTTACAGAAAAAGACATCTCATGCACATGTATGACAATTAGATAATGAAATAAAACAAAAACCAAAGAGCTTGCACTTGATTTAGCTGTTTACAGCCAAGTATTTACAAGTACTGAACTTTTGGCAATATCTGTCTGATACACACTCTTAGTATTTACAGTTTTATTAGCTTTACAACTATTTTTACCTCAATTTACTAGATTGAGAAAAAGCTTTCGCTGCATTTTACTAGCTATTGGCTCGAGAGGGCCCCAACTACAGCCTAGTTCCATCTTATTGCACAGGTGAGTGGTTAACAGCATTTTAATGATATTTGTGAGCTGCGCCACACTTGACTAAAAATCAAGTATGCAGCAGTTAGGTTTCGGCTGCACAGTGCCAAACATTGAATGACTCTCAAATGACAGAATAAACAGACGGGGGAACTTGGAAAAGGATTGAGGGGAATATAGCAACATTCAACAACAATCGTAAATGATGTGAGAAGTTGTGAATAAGGACAGTTTCCTACAAGAGCAGAAAAAAGTCTTTAATAAATTTATCATACATTAGGTTTAAAATATCCAAAGAAAGTTTCTCCCCTACTCTATCACAGTATCACCAAAAACGTTGGGGAAGTCATTTAACAAACTTATATATGACAGGTAATAACTTAAATACACCTCTGTCTCTGGAGACCCCAACTGGTTGCTGGAAGAGTTTGCAACAGGCAAAACCATTTTGTACTTGTCTTGTGTCATACGTTCCTTTCTGTACAGCTGTTTCTGACCACTGTCAGTAATATCCTGCAGCTAAATATCCTGTGATTTACGATCCAACAAAGCAGAGAAACTGCTGTGAGATTTTGCCATGATTAAGAAGCAATCCAGGGGTCTACCATCTCAGGACTCATGAAAACATTCTTACTTTATATTAAAAAGCTTTCAAACACCGTTTACATTTTCCACGCTTAAGACGAAAGGCTGTCATTCTTTGCCTAGGAACAACTATTTCAAGCAGCAGGAGAAACCGAGGATTTAGGGACTACAGAAATTGACTAAAGATACTAATCTCACAGCAGAACTATCCTCCAAACTGCACTGCAGCCTTTTTTTGATAACAGAATTATGTGCAATATGCAATACAGAACAGTGTAGTGCTCAAGCCACAGAAGAAAACTCCATCTTTTTATGGTAGCAATGTTGGCTGTCACCTATCCCTTATCTGAAGTGCAGTAACATAGAGTTAGAGAAGTTTTAGGACCCTCTTTTCTCAGCTACTATCTCAAACTGACCAGCCTAGACAGCATCTACTCGTTAATGCAATATAAACACATCATCTGTTAAAAGGAAACATTTTATTTGGTGAACAAGTCGAGCAAAATTCTTACATTCAATCACCTAATCATCTATCACCTAGTTTGTTTGTTTTTTTTAATAGTTACATTTAACGACAAAGTAAGAATTCACCTCTGAAATTCTGCTTCTCCTTTCATAGTATGGTTATAAGATCTTCTGTCTTCAGAGTTCTGAAAGAAGAGAAGAAAAACAGGGTGTCGTACAGGAAACTGCAGTAAAACAAAATCTTGGTAAGATGGAACAAGCTAGTATCTCACACTGGATTCACTATGACTTTGAGTAAGTTAACCTTTGAAAAAGGTAGCTGCATACCTCGTTACAATTCTGTATTTAGATTTCATTATATTTAAGAAGAATAAAAGGGAAAAATGACTGTGGCATACAGACCTAGATTATAAATAGGAAACGCTTGACTAATTAAGCACATTCAGGATTCACGTGTTTCATATATTCTAGGAGTTCAGCATGTACAGCATGTACAATATACGTTTTTGTATATTTATACAATTTGCTAGGAAGAAGAAAGTCACCTGGAGACTGCTCCACCTAGCCCCAAAGAACAGATATTTCTATGGGAGGTTTGTGCAGATGAGACGCATACTAATTCTGTCCAGATTTACTAATCGGAGCAGCAACGGGAAACCACAATTACACAGGCCTGGTTAAGAGTAAGGATAGTCCCCAAACAAAGGACTTGAATATTGCTAGTTTAGAAGGCAGTTTTAACACTGCTTGGCATATCTGCACTTAATTAAAAATAAAAGGGTTGCCGAAACCTCTAAAGTCTTAATGAAACTAAGGAAATCTAGAGAACTTCTAACTGTTTGAGGCTGCTGCCACTAAGAATTTTGTCATGCAACTTACTGCAGTAAGGACTGCTCAAATCACATCATTTAAATCAAGTCAGGAATCAAAGTGGTTTACCGTTTTATTAACAACATGGAATTAACTGGCAATCAGTAAACTACACATTCAGGATAAACATCAGCAGATAAACCACAATACGAGGCAATTATAAATTGTTAATATTAACACCGATACCAAAAAGTTCTCATCTCAGACACACAAGTGACAGACACTGCACGTCCTCTCCTTCATAGGCAGCGTGGATTACAAGCACGCACCCCCTCTCCTGGGAGTGCCGGTACCCTGTTTACATACATACATTCTGCTGGAGATGCTGCAGGTGCCCAAGCCGCGTGCATACCCATGCCACTTCCTATACAATGCGCTAACACATGCTGGTGGCAAAGATCCCCATGAGATCATGTGCGCGCACCCGAGGTGGGGGCCTCTTCTTGTTGCACCCTGTACTGTCAGCCCACTAGCTGGAGTACAAGCTCCTGACAGTATCCGGCAGGGGAGGGTGCCCCGTCAGGCCTGGATGGAGGTTGTGATGCTAGTGGGATGAATTCTGGCAGTATCAAGCCCAGTTAAGTGCTGCTTTCTTATTCCAAAGGCCTCTGCCCACACAACTACAAGTTTTCATGCTGTTTCAAGCTAGCCCCTTCTTTTCTCAGAAGTCTCTCGGTAATTCTCTGGTTATCAGGCAGTTTCTTCATCTTAAGCAAACTGTCATCGCTACCTTCCCCTTAGCACTATCAGTTCTTGGGTGAACATCATCTCAGAACAGACTGCTTCAGGTATTCTATTCACATGTCAGAGTTTACGCTCACATGCTTATCATGTCATCTGTTGTTTTCCAGGCCACAGTGCCAAGAGGTGGCTGTGCAGACTCCCCCAGATAGCTCTGTTTAAAGCTGTTCTAATTTATATTGTGATAAATATCCTTTTACTCACGCTTTAGGAGGCATATGCCAAACATTATTTCCACTAAAAGGCAAGAGGTATGAAGTTTTCTGTAGTCTGTGGTCATGCTTACACCAGAAAAAATCAATTATGCTTAAACTTGCCTCTAGATAGATGGCTTATTCGAACCTGTGTGAGCAGAAGACATTTCTTATCCACCCTGTAGGAAGACGCACTTACTGCTTTTCAGAAGTTTCTCATCACTGTGCTATTAATAGCCAAGTTTTCCACTCTTGCCTCAGTCAGTGTATGTCTGCCTACACCAATATCTAATTCTGTTCCAAACACATTGAAGTCATGCAACAGTTAAAACCCAGTATTCTTTGAATTGGTATTGCCACTAGCAATGCTGATACAGCTACAGTATGATGTTTTAAGCCAAGTCCTTACTGTTTGTACTACAGAAACAAATGAAAAAAAAAATCAAAGCCTTGGAACAAGTCAATGTTAAAAGATAAATGGAATAATAATAAGGAATTCAGGAGGGGGAAAAAAAAAAAGCAGTCACAAATACTTGTACATTTCTACGTAAGTGAAAGGCTTTTAAGACCGTAATCTCCTCATGTTCTCCTACGAACACTTCCAAACATTTTTCTGAGGCATTCATAAGACAATTAAAAGCTCTCTCATTTCATGCATACTTTACAAAAGGGAAGGAAAAAAAACTGAAATGTGGATTTTTTTCAAATTACTGATTTACTGGCTATGTATTCCATTACTGCTGGAAAGTGGTTTTGGTAACTGTTTTTGAGCTCAGGTTTTCTCGTCAAGAAGATATGCCTAAAAAAGAAAAAAAATCTGATACCCATGGCCTCTGGGGAAAAACAAACAAACAAACAGAAGTCAGTTATCTGGCTAGAACTTTTAGTTATCTGACCAATTCAATCCTCTTGCTGTCCTTAATGACCCCACCTTTCATTTCAAAATTTGATTAATCTGTCACGAAACTGCTAAATAATTCATGCTCTCCTCTCGAATGTGGGATTTTAATTTTATAAAAATAATATAGCTCTTCCTACTTTGTCATCCCGGCCATCCAAACTGTCCTCCTTTCCACTTAATTTCTTCAGTTTCTTTTTGGACATCTTCAAACCTAGGAAAAATAGCGTTATCATTATTATTCATCTCAAGTTTTATTTCCATCTGGCATAAAATTAGCTTCTTAAGCTGCCTAAGGAATAAAAAAAATCTTAATTTTATCTTGTTTTCACCTTACAAAAAAACCACAAGTGGCTTGAACAGAGTTGAGCATTCACGTCTTGCTAATAGAAGAACTTCCCAGAAGAAAAGGTGGCAGCTACTTATTCCACCTTCTGCTCCAGACATGCATTTTGTACTAGCAAACACACAAGACTGACAAAGACAAACATCCTTTAATGGAGAGTCATGTAATTGTGAAGTTTGAAAGCAACTCCAACTATATGACTCGTGCCTTAGGTTCACCTCCCCCCCTTTCCACTGGACGTTTTCATGTCATCATCGTGAGATGACACAAAACCTGCACCATCCTCCACTCCAATTAAGTTCTGCAAATCTACCATGAACAGCTGTGAGCCTCCCAAAATTTAAGACTGTGAGAAAATTTCACCAGATCGTCCTAAAACTGTGAGGTTCGTTTCCAGAGCATAGGCGAACCAACAAAACAGTTAAGCTATAGAAGCAGCTCAGCCATAAAGCAACAGACTTCAGGAAAACGCTGAGAAAACATAAGGGAGGCTCTTTAAGCCACTCGACGAGTTGAGCAACTTAAAGGAAAGCTGTAACTCCAACATCCCCATAGGCGAACCAACAAAACAGTTAAGCTATAGAAGCAGCTCAGCCATAAAGCAACAGACTTCAGGAAAACGCTGAGAAAACATAAGGGAGGCTCTTTAAGCCACTCGACGAGTTGAGCAACTTAAAGGAAAGCTGTAACTCCAACAGCCCCCAGCCCCGCGCACCAGGAAGCGCCGGGCGACCTTCCCCGGCCCTTCAGCGCAC